TTGCAAAAACTGCTCCCGTACATTCAAACTTAAACATCATCTGAAGAAACATAAAATGAGTTGCGATAACGTTCCTCCCGAGTTTTGTTGCCCAATTTGTAATAAGCTCTTCAGACAAAAATGGGATCTGAAAACGCACATGGGATGTGTGCACAAAGTCATCAACATATAACGTAAAACCTATAATTATACCAAGCCTACATGATATCTGATACATGTTAGTATCAAGTCATTAACATAATATAACGTAGGCAGAAGAGAAGGACCAACGATCTACAAACTCTTAGTGTGTCCATTATGATAAAAGATAATTTAATTCTAAGTGGAAATCATTTGACAGTCGAGCCTAAAAAACGCAATTTTTTCTAGCCCCTTGAAATTCAAGATATCGAATCAACTGTACCTACTATACTATTATTATTCAATACTATGCGAAGTTATAGGAGGTACCTATTATAAATATTTTATAATTAAAATTAATAATTTATTATATAATAATAAATATTTTATATTTCATATACCTACCTATAATGTGTATTGTGTTTAATTATATAGGTGCCATATATTTGTATATTTGTATTTTTTATGCCCTCAGCGTTAAAGTACCAAGTTTTAGACAGAACCAGATTAATACTATGGTATATGAGTGCAAAATTTTTCATAGGTGTCAAATATTTTTTCTATTATCTGAATGAAAGCATCATATTAACTTGTTTTTATGGTTAAATATAGTTATAATTATATTAATAGACAAGTGCAACTAAATGGTTGTTTTAGCGTTTATATTTTGTGTTTAAGAACGCTGATTTCCATTGAGTATCACAAATATTGTTATTTATTAAGAATAATAATTTTAAAAATAATGTTCCTCAGTTTGTGTACAGTTTTCAACATGTACTGCCAGTGAGTGTAATAAATATTAGGTGTACATTTGTTTATTATTATAAAAAATATCTATTCTAAATTAAAAATACGATGGTACTCTATTATGATTTATGAGTAATACGCAAGAAATCAATCAACACCTACCTAAGCTGTTATTTATACCTACCTAATTATACTCAAATTTAAGGCTACCTATTTAATATCAACATTCATATATCTGTTTCTAGAGTTTTAGGTTCTGAGCTGAGCGTTGAATGTATTGCATTTACAATAATGTGTGTTTTTTTTTAAATTTTTTTTTTTTTGTCTCATCAAGGTTTGGGGCAGTAAAACTGCTTTGATTTTCTTCAACAGCATCTTGTTTGATGGGAAAGTGAATCTAGTTGGTGCATTGGGGGGGTCAAAATTTGAAATTCCCAATAGTTTCTAAAAGTGCCGGAAAAACAAAATTAAGGAAAAACGGGAATTTTTACGCAAAATTTTTTTTTTTGACAAAATTGATTTTGGTTTTCAGCGTTACTCTAAACAAATTACCATATATACGGACATTACCAATTTTCAGTTTTTTAGTTTTTTTTGGGGGGTAAAAAAAGCTTGAAAATTGAATACAAGACTCTTAATAGATTGTTACAATGACATTTGAAAAATATTAAATATCCAGTCATCATTTTTTTTATAACCATTTAAATTTGAAATTTTGAAAAAAGGCGTAAAAATCTCGAAAATGTGCAAATTTTTTTGAGCTGGAAATTCCTAAGTTTATCTTTTTAAATCCAAGATTGTCTACCTTTATCAACAAAAAAAATGTCTATAAGAAAGTCAAATTAGATTTTAATGAGCGTTTGAAATTAAAATTTTTTCAACATTGGATATTCACTCGATCTTTTATTTACCGATTTCCTAATTTTGTTGTAATTCAAAAACCAATAGCCGTAGACACTTGAGATTTACCTATATTATAATATATTTGTTTTATCCGCGATTGCTATACTTGATAAAATGTTCAATATATTTTGACTCGTTTAAAGCTGTTTACGGACAGTTTCAAATTTAAATTTTTTTAGTTTTTTTTTTATGAATATCAATGAAGATTTATTTGTTGGGCCAAAAATCGTCAAAATGTAATAAAAGGCTCCTCATATATTTTAACAATAGCAGTTGAAAAATAATAAAAATACATAGTCAACATTTTTTTTCATTTAAAGTTTGAATTTTGACAAAATTTATCAAATTGAGAATTTACAAATTATTTAGTAGTTAAAAATGTATAAAATGTTCAACTTTTATAACTAAGGATTAAAAGTGTAATATAATAATTTAAATAGGGCTAAATGCTATAAAGTTAATATTACAAGTAGCCCCTTGTTGCGCTTATGACTATTATGTTAAAACTAATTTGTTTTTTATTACTTACCTAGTTACATATTGCTTTTTTAAATGAATAATGTTAGTATTCATAACCGTTCTATAATCAAGACTCAAGAGCTTTTTAACTCATACTACCTATAGTATCTACTAATTACCTTAATACTATATTGTTTATAATTATATTGTAGCATATTATACATCATCAGCGTCCTGCTTATCTTTTGTATGTGTATAATGCATTTATCATGAAACTTATGAACATAATCTAACTATCTAATTCATACGATATAACCATACAAAATATAAAGCAATTATCTGGATACCTATGTATCTACCTTAAACATATATTATGTAAACCTGTTTTGTAAACAGATAATGACATAATGTGTTAATTTAGGTCACTTTTCCAGCCATAAATGGCCATGTCCACAAAATTGCGGTCGTAGCTACAAAAACAAACATTCATTAGCCAGCCATTTGAAATACGAGTGTGGAGTACAGCCACAATTTACTTGCAAGAACTGCACCCGTACATTCAAACTCAAACACCATTTGAAGAGTCATATAATGAGTTGCGATAATGTTCCGCCCGAGTTTAGTTGCCCGTTTTGTAATAAGCTCTTCAGGCAAAGAGTGCATCTGAAAACGCACTTGGGATGCGTGCACAAAGTCATCAACATATAACGTATAACCTATACTCTGCCTACATGATATCTGATACATGTTGGTAGAAGTTCTGAGTCCATATGACGTTTGTGAACGTTTGTTATAAATACTATATAGGTATATTTATTATAATTTATAATTTATAATGTAATAAACCAATAAATATTGTATATTGCATATATTTAATGTGTATATATTGTATACTATTATTTTACATACCTATATTTCACTTTCACTGTATAAAATACTGGATATAAGTATTAATAATAAATACTAAATGTAGGTATTTGTTGTACATTTTAATACAATATCTATAGATACATAGCTATATCTACCTGTATTATATTATGTTAGAAATAAGATTATTTACTTCTGTGGTTCTGTTCTTATATTTATTAATTATTATTACACCTACTCAATCCTACTGAAGTACAGCAAGTTTTATTGACTAAAGATGAATGGTAGACTCCTAAAAAAGATAGTTGCAACTTCTATATTAGTGTTACCTCCTATATAATCTTTTATTTATTAAAAAGAAAGTCAATGAGAAAATAATAAAATGTTTATAAAAATCCAAAAGTATAAACTTATAGAAAAAATTTCTATTTTAACAACATATGTGAAACTTTATGGCCAGTGGCACAACTAAGGGAGCTTAGCCCCCTGACTAAAATTTAGCCCCTCCCCCCCAAAATATCCCTTTTATATTTAGATATAAGCCCCCTATGAGTTATTTTAAATAAATAGTAAAGTGGGCTGTAGCCTTCCCAGAATTTTTACCTTAGTTGCGCCTATGCTTATGGCTTATATAACATTTTCAAGCTTTGTCCCAAAAAAAAAAAACTTTATAAGCCAAAAAAAAATTACAAATTTCTATTAATAGCTAAAAAATAGTCAAAATATATTGAAAACTTCACGTATCTAGTTATATTTTTTACCGTTAGAATAAAAAACAAAATCGATTTTGTCCAAAACTGGTTTTGCATAACAGTCACCGTTTTTCACTACCCATTTTGACCCCCCCCCCCAAGTATCTTCTAAATTTACTTCATTAAGAACATTGAATCATTTTTACTGCCCAAAATTGTGTATTAACTTTCGATTTCACTAAGTAAACCAATAATGAATAATTTAGTTAATGTTGTTAAAAGCGAACCATTTTTAAGGGGTTGGATCTAGGCAATATTCTATATCCATTGTGAACTATACTCTGTTCCAAAAGAGAACGGTCACTTTTCGAGCATACAACTTACGGCTACGGCAGTGCAAAGGCCCAACATCCCCCACCTTTCTAGCAGACGTTTCTCGAAGACGTTGACGATTGCCGGCTAGAAAGGGGAAGGGGAATTTTGGCCTTTGCACTACCGCAGTACTCAGTTGTTTGAGCGAAAAGTGACCGTTCTCTTTTGGAACAGAGTATAAGTGTGACTGGGTGTGTCATCATTAGTGGGAGTGAGTTCCCCGTAGCTTTATGTAATTAAAGATATACTACGGCCAACATTTTTAGAAATCAGTAACGTACATAGCAGTCCCGCAAATAGGTGGGAGGCTTGACCCCTCGAAAAAAGAAAATAATATATATTATAAAAAATTTGGGGGCTTAATCCTTCCCCTAAACATTTTTCCTATTTGCGCCACTGGTACTTAGGTAGGTACGCGTAGTCATAAGTCCCTCTGCAATTGTTTGATCAAAAAAGTTTCAACAAAAGTCTCAAAAAGCGGAAGAAAAATTCACCCAGTACCACAAGCCCGATTTCAATTTTGAAAACGTCTTTGAATTCCTTATTCTATGTTCTCAGTTATGTTGGAAATAGATTTTCGATTTTTTTGTATTGTTTATTAGTATATTTCCAAATTAGTTTTCTTTTTTTTTTTCAAAATTCACCTTTACTTTATTGTTACTAAAAAAAAGAATCCAAAATAGCTTTCCTATATTAATCTAGAAAAGAGAATAAGGAATTCAAATATGTTTTCAAAATTAAAATCGGGCTTTTGGTAGGTACTGGGTGAATTTTGCTTCCGCTTATTGGTCTAAATTCACGAAAAAACGGCCCGCTTTCAACAGCCTCAAAACTATGAACTTAACTTAAAAAATTGTCCATCTTTTTGAATAAGAATTGTATTTTTTCTACAAAAGGCCAAGCTTTGCAGGAGACTTCCAAAGTTGTATGGTCTCCTAAAAATGTCATACTGTAAAAACGCATTCGATATGACCAATATAAATTGATCGCCTGCACTCGTGTGCGCTCAGTGCTTTTTTCTGCACAGCCGATTTTGTGAGTGCTCATCAAGAACTCTATTTCTCCATTAACGTCCTCAATCTCCATACACCGCAGTGGTGACGGTAAAATTATTTTGTCTTTGAGCCACGGCATTTTTCCACCGCCGCAGTGTGTGAGGACTATTACGGTAATACGGTGTTAAATTTTTTTTTCGTATTCCATTTTATTAAGGACTGATGCAGAACTTTACTAGTGCAACAGTGGTAGAATTGCTTGATGCACTCATAAATCGTCAAGTCGAAAACTAGGTATGTATTATGACCAGTGGGCGTATTTACGATTTTGGCTATTTTGGGTACACACATTTTGGTGCCCCTTTTTTTCTCAGTTTCCTTTGACTCGCATTGTCACAAAAAACTCTAATTTACAATTTACTTTTTCTCTCAGTTAATAGTGCAGACCTTGAAACCAGTATAAACCGTTTAAAAACTGAAACCGATAACAAAATACAAAACCAAAACCGAAAAAAATAGGAAACCGGTGTACAAATCGAAACCAAAACAGAAATTTTTTAATCGGTTTCAAGCCATGTAAAAGTGATAATTGATAATTGTCCGTTTATTCCTAATTAAATAAACAAATTAAAATTTTGATTTTAGCCTTTTAGCCTTTTTTAAAATTTAATAAAATACATTATGTATATAATATATTACATAGAAATATCAAATATGTATAGAAATGTAAAAGATATTATAAGAAAGATACAGGTATTCACTCATCAGTTATCACTAATATAATTTCTCAACAAATCCAGTAAAATGAAAAAATAATTTTATTATAACCTCTAGCAACGGCGCCCCTTTGAGGACTCAGAATTTGGCGCCCCCGGGCAATTGCCCCTCGTCGCCCCCCTAAATACGCCACTGATTATGACATATTTGACATAGGTACCAATATTGTACAGTTCTTACTCCGAACGACTGGTTAAAGTTAAGTGTTAACCACAAGGATAGTATGCCCATAGACCCAAGACTATCTTCAAACGTGGTGTTCGGAATATTCTGCCGAATATTAAGCGTTTATTAAGCGTTAACCGACACTTTACCGGACATTTCACCTTTTTTTATAACTTAGGTAAATTATGTTTCACTGGGGTTAATCTGTAAGTTGGTCTACAGCACGATGTAGAGAAGATATCATCTCTACATCGTGGTCTGCAGCTGCTATAATTCAAATTTCAACGCATAGTAGAGTAATAATATTTTATTTACCCTATGTTTCAAAGTTCAATGACCAATGATAATATTATCAGTTATCATATTATCAGTTGTTTTTATTTTGCCCGCGTGTTGTCAGTACCGATGGTCACATAGACGATACTGTACGATAGTCAGTGATAGTACCTATTTAGTATTTTATGCCGATTTTCGATCAATTCCGTATTATTTCATTAATTTTTAGTTCATAATCGGTGTCGTTTATTTAATTAACCGCTGTGCTGAGCTTAAGTATTATATTTTAATTATTCGTTGTAATGTGTAACATAGCTTATTTATCGCGATACATCAAATGCATTGGTTTTCTACTATTATTTTTCAATTTACCGGTCCACTTTACTGTTTGACTTCGTGCACATAAATTTATAAAATTATATTTAATTTTCAAGTTACATGGCATTGAGTCTGTGTGATTACTATTTATTTGAAACTATTAACTTCATTTATCTGATAAAAATGTTAATAGCTTAACTAATATAAACATAATAATATCGTATAATTTTTATTTTTACAATTCCATTTTTTTTCATAATTAAACAAATTAAATTATTGTCATCAACTATAAAAATTGAAAATATTGTTAATGGTCTTCAAAAGTTTTTATTTATTTTTTTTAATGTTGTCTGGCCTACAACAAAAGTGATAACAGTGTAACAACCGGGATATGCCTAGATGTTTTTGGATTTATAATGGAATATGTAAATTTATTGGATTACTCTATTGCTGGTAAATATGAAAATACTACAATACAAATAAAATAGCTTATTTTAATATTTTACATATTTGGTTCAGTACAAATTATGCATAAGCTATTTTATATCATAAAAACTTATATTGTGGCTAACCGTTTTCAATTTAAAAAGTTATTTAACACGTTGACAGTGTATATCTTTTTGCAGTTTTCACACAAAAAAAGTAAAGAAACTGCTCATAACGACATACCTATGTATACATATTTAAAAACATGCGTTTAATCCACGCTAAATAATAATAAAATAACATTCAGCCACGGGTACGGAATATTAAACCATTTATTTTAAATGTATACCTATTAGACTCCAAATTGCGTCAGTACGCATTCAACGTGTTAAAAATTAATTAATTTTTATTTATTAGGTATACATTTTTAACTTGATTGTTTTATAACTAATGTATTATTTTCAGTGGGAAACTGCTATGGCATGATTGGATTTTATAATAACTGTCAAGTTTCATCCCACATCGAGCAATAGTAAAGGTATGTTTAGTTTATAAGCATTTTATTGATTTAATCAAAATTAATATTTTTCCCACCAAACAAAATATGGTCGGCTAAAAAATATCTGAAATATTTTGTTGTTTGAATACAATAATTTATAACAAACGAATATGTCAGAAAAGTTCTTTTTTGTTGTGCTGAATAGAAAAGTACCTTAACAATTAAATTTTATATAAATAAACCCTGTATCCATTTTATTGATGTTATATTTAAATTAAATACTGGTTCTTGGCTATTAATGATGATATTCTTAAAAGCATGTACAGAAATTTGATCGAATTTTAGATAGGGAATAAATCATTCTTTATAAAATAAGAAGTGTTGGCTTTGAAAAATGATCAATAATTTTTAGGGGCTTAGGCGCTTAGCCTGCTCCTTCTCAAGCACCCATAATCTCTACCTTTGCCTAGTATTGAAAACAATTAGTTCCCTCTTACCTCTTTACCTAGTTATGTCTTATTAATAATTGTAAATTATATAAAAACAGTGAAATCATTCACTAACATACATCTTTCAAGTGAAAAATATTAAACTTATTCTAATAATTATAAAATATTGTGGTTTTACGATTAAGTATGATGTCTTCTATTTGAAAATGTCACAGTCATTTTTATTGATAATCATTAATTATTAACATTTTTGAATAAAGAAATAACATTGAGAGTAGGTTATGATCCTAACATATTATATTAATGATCCTAATATATTACCTAATACAGTTCTTTATTTATAATTTAAAAAAAAGTTATTGTTTATTATTCTATAATATACAATAATTAATGTGTCTTTAAAATGTCACCTGTATATTAAAGCCCAGTTTAAGTGGAATATTTTCTTAAACACCATCCTCAAGAATTTTACATCTTTCAGTTGTTTAAATATTTAATTATGTAAATTATAAATCATTCTATATCTTGAGTTTAAATAATTTTATTATCTACGGACATAAAAGGTGGTGTATGTTTTCCTTGCATACAAACCCTTATATTTCCATTATTTTATGTAATTATGCAAGTTAAAATAAGTTATGATGAGACTAATTATTAATTTTTAATGCTATAAATATAATTTAAAACATTGAATTTATACTCTGTTCGCCGAGAGAACACGCCGCTGTCCGACGAAAATCGGTTTGTTCTGCGCATCCCATAGCTCTCGGCTGCAGAACAGCCATCAGCTTTGTCGTTGCAAATCTTGGAGGGGGAAATAGAGCCTCGGCGAGCGAGCAGCCATCAGTCTGCATGCGCAGAACCGGCATGTTCTCTCGGCAAACCGAGTATAGTGTGCAAATATTTCATCTTGAAGCTATGTGATATTATTACCTAATGATTTTGAGTACTTATCTTTATCTTATTAAGGTTATTACTATTTATTTGAACATACTTATCCTAGCTGATTTGCACACATGTGAGGAAGAACAAAATACCTTGTACTTCGCCTCATGTTGCAACAGCATGATCAGAATAGAAATCGCACCAGCTAGGACATTACGTTAGTATTTGGTATTTAAAATGTTTTAATAATTTTAATGTATAATAACAATTATTATACTAATAAATAGATAAAATATTATATGTAGATAATTGTTATCTATACTATTAAGGTATATTACCTATATGATTTATTTTTATATTATTATAATGTCCACTTACCTAATTAAATAGTTGTTATTTTATTTATACCTAGGCAGAAAATATTTTATTACACAGCCAAAATATATAATTTTGACAACATGTGTACTGGGTAGATAATATAAATATTATAATTTATGTTAGCTAAATTCAAATGGATTAGTGAAGAGGATTTGCAAAGAAGTCAAGTACATAGTTAAAAGATTTAATTATAATTATTAGTCATTGTTATAATATTTTGTGGAGTATGACAACACTCTGAAATGTACATTAGTCAGTTTAGGAGCATCTTGTGAACAATATAATATGTCAATAAAATGTTTGTCAGTCAAATTGCAATAAGTTTAGTAGTCCTGACTTATAATTGATATTTATACAGAATAATCCAATTAACCAGGTATACCCAAATGTCTTAGTCAATTTTTGTGATTTTAAGAAAAATGTTTTTCCACAGTAGTATTAAACATCTTACCTGGTTATTTATGTGATCATCAGAATCTCTTCTTATTTGTAACAAAACTGATTATTTTTTACTATCATAAATTATGTTTAAAAGTTTTAAATATATTGATTGTTATTAATATAAGTAATATTTTTAAAAGATAGTTAAATAACAATAAAAAGATATTTGCAAAATGCTTGTTTTAATGTTTTATAAGTACCAAGATTTACATTATCCACATAATCCATATTTATAATTATTATTTAAGTTTATTAAACCAATATCACTTTTTCTCCCGATACATGTTCCTATAGGTATACGCACGTGGTATGCAACGTGTGAAGCTGAACAACCCAAAAAACTACAACAAATATTAAATAAGGTTTAGCCTAAGCTTTAAAAATGTACTTATGACACTATCCTACTTCCTTGTTTATTTAACACACTGGATACAATTTTGTTACATTCAAAAATACTCTTATAGGAAAAAACAAAAAAATACACCAGGTATTTTACTAAAATTACAAATTTATCTTGATTTTTTA